CTATCATCCTTCAGTTCTCTAATTTATTTGTTTGTGTGTTCTTTAAATTCACTGAATTCTTTTATCATGTTTATAATTGTTCTTTTGAGTTCCATGTCCTGCATTATCTCTAGGGGGTTCTCATTGTACTCCTCTAGAAAACTATTGATACTTGGTGAGGATATGTTATTTTGGTTTTTCGTGTTATTAATTTTTCTCTGTGACTTACATGTGAATTTCTTTTGTTGTTTCTGATTCTTGTGTGAGACTCAAGCCTTCCAGTTTAGGTCTGCTTCTTTTTGTAAACTTTATGTACCTTGTGGTTTATTTTGGGGTATGACAAGCTGGTTCCTCTAAGCTTCTGTTTCTCTCTTTGATTTTATATTGGAGTGGCCAGATTGCTTTTGTCTTCAGGAGTTCCCACAGAGTCCCAAGTCAGATGAGGATCAGATGCTCTCAGGCTTTCTCCTAAGGTCTAGATCCCTCTAGGAAAGATTTTATCCTCCGGAATTTGGAGGCTGAATTGGCCTTGGAGCAGGGCCCAGGAAAGATGCTGATCTTGGGCAGCTGGTGCCGTGCCACCGAGGGATGCAATGGGAGCTGAGGGTGGGAAGAGGCCCCAAGGGCTCCTGGGCCCTGCAGGGAGAAACTGGGTTGGTCTGGATGCAAAGGATCAGCAAACAGTGGTGGCTCCGAGCTGAGAGGTCAGGCCTGGTGTCTGGGGTGCCAAAAGAAGAAATGTGCCAGTACCTAGGCTAGGAGGAGAGATGGGGTGGGGGAGGTGGGAGGGTGAATTAGGCTCCGGGAGTCAAGGTGAGGTGGGGCACCGCTGGACTTACCCAGGAAAGAGGCTGGTGGGTTTTGCAGCCCAGGGAAGCAGAGGGAGGTGAGCGCAGGACCAGGCCCAGAGGGCTCTTGGTGACCATGAGAAGGCACTGGGTTGGTCTGGATGCAAAGGATCCAGAAGCAGTGGTGGTTCCTGGCCCAGAGGTCAGCCTGGTGTCTGGGGTGCCAAAACAAGAAATGAGCCAGTTCCCAGGCTAGGAGGAGAGCTGGGGCGGGGGAGCCGGGAGGGTGAATGAGGCTGGGGGAGTCAAGGCGCGGAGAACTTACCCAGGAAAGAGGCTGGTGGGTTGTGCAGCCCAGGGAAGCAGACTAATTTCACTATTTTTAATTGCTAACATTTCACAATTTTCTCTCGTGTCTCCTTTTCACCTGTTTTTCTATTCTGGAGGTATAAATTGTGTAAAGACTTTTAGAATGCTAATTTATTTACTGAATTTTTCTGGAAATTGATCTCTGTAAGGATGTATCATAACAATGATGATTTTGAATGTGAACACTGTCTGTACACACAAAAAACCTAAAACCTTCTCGGTAAATGAAAAGATGCCCTTTATGTCCGTCTGCATTTTAGAAAGCAGCATTTCTTTGGGTCTCAGCCCTGAGTGACTGAGTAATGTGTTGGTGGCTCAACTTCATTGTGACAGATGCCCTCACAAAACCTAGGGATTTTGGTTTTCTGAGAACTTGGCGTAGGTGTGTTTATCTTTCCCAGTTTCAGAACCGTGTCTTTGTGATTATGGCCCAAAGCTCACTTTTTAAATGAAGCTTTCTTTTATTTTATTACTATGCACATATAGATACCTGACTCCACATACAAATGTATTGTAGGTTTGGACTTCCCTATCTTTAAGGCTCTGCTCTTACCCCCCAGGTACTCTGTGCTATCTTCCAGGGTATAAATGTTTTAATCCATTTAGTGAACTACTACATTACAGAACAGAGTAATTTTGATTCAACAATGCTTTATTGCTGGGGATTAAAATAGACTCTGGTACATAATACTCAAGAAAAATTATTGAAAAATGAATGAATGAAAGGCCTATTGGTACAGAATAAATACAGAATAAATGTATACATCTAGAGAATAAATAAATACAAAATAAATTTACAGAATTAATAATTATGCATTTAAATTCCAGGAGCAGAAAACAATTCTTCCTCCAAGTCATGTAGTCCATGAAGCAATAGAAGACTTTCTCTGCAATTTCCTGATCAAAATGGGAATGGCCAAGACACTGGATTACTTTCAGGCTGAATGGTAAACAATTGTGAGGATGAGTAGTTCTTTGGAAAGTTAACAACATTCACATGTGGACTTTTAATTCTCTTCAAAAACTTCAAATGAAGAGCATCTTAGTTTCCTCTCCTGCTGCTGTGATAAAATACAAAAGCAACTTAAGGGAAGTGTTTATTTTGGTCACAGTTTAAGGTGCAGTTGAGTATGGAGAATTCAAGGCAGCAGGAGCTTGAAGCAGCTGGTCACATGGCATCCACAGCTAGGAAGTGGACAAGAGAGGGCAGTGGATGCATGTTAGTGCTCAGCTTACTCTATCTTATAGTCCAGGATCTCTTGCCCAGAGGATGGTCTGAGTGTCCCACATCATTTAACATAATGAAAATAATCCCCCACAGGCCTCCCAGAGGCCCATCCCCCAGGTGATTCTACATTCTGTCAAGTTGACAATTAACACTAACATCAAAGTGAATTTACATTCAGGCTAGAAACTTCCCATCTTTAAGGTGAAACCATAATGCGAACACACTTATGAGGGGATCATTTACAAAGAAAATTTTCACTCAACTTCCTTTAAGATTCAAATAGAACTTCTTTCCAAATAAGAAAATGGAATATTCTCTGGAGTTATAGAACAAAATTATTTTTTGAAGTATTTTCTTCTACTTTTACATAATGGCATTTATCATTTTCTGTAGATACATTAAAATTACCACCTTAAAAGTCTGTTAAAAATCCTTTTTCTCTACTTACACAGCCAATTGATTCTTTGTCTATAAGTATTCTTTGATTTAGAAATAAATTGGATTGTATTTTAAAATATTACCTAAAAATAAGATTTTCTTGTTATAACTGAACATTTTTTATTGATTTTTTTTGTATTTCATACAGAACATCTCAGACAATCTTATTCATCTTTATACCCGCACCCCAAATGGCACCCTCCCATAGTGCATCCCGTCCCACTGGAGCCCATGTACTCTGCCATCCCTGTTACTGCCCATTGTGTTGTCAGTGCCTCCAGCCGTTCCCCAGTGCAAGTCCATCTGCTGAGTCTAGTCAGCCTAGCTATAGTCCCTTGTTTTAGGGAGATCAGCTCTTCTTCATCTAGCAGCAATCAGTTGCCAAGTTCCTTTAGATTGGGGTCTGCTGTTAATTTTCTAGTTCTATGCTGGGTTACTGTTTGCCTGAGTTTGCATGAGACTTGTGTATGCTGACACCTTTGCCATAGAATCATATGAGCAGGTTCCCAGGAGCTTGTAGGACTGTTTCCATATGGTCATGCCCATTCTCCCTGGCTCTTACAATCTCTCTGCTCCCTCTTCCGTGATGGTCCCTGAGCCTTGGGTGGATGAAGTTTAATAAAGGGGTCCTGTCCAAGGGCCATTATTTAGCAGACTCTCGTTCTCTACACTTTGGCCATTTGCTTACTGTCCTCTTCTTTATCCCTGTTCTATGTTCCATTAGCCTTAGGTGTAGAGGTTGTATTGTAGATGTGTCCCTTAGGCTTGTGCAATTCATAGACAATGTCCATGTGTGACCAGTTGTGTTACTTGGTATTAGTCTCTGACTACTGCAAAATTCGCTTATTTGGGATGGTGATTGCGAGATTTGTCTCTAAATATAAGGATGCATATTTTGCACATAGTAAGAAATCACATTAGTCTAGTGATATGATAGTTTTGGGTTTTTCCCTAAAGCCTATGACCACTCTGGCCATGTGTATTAGATTATGTTACAGTACCACACCTGAGTTTCCTCCCTTTGAGTGGGCTTTTAGTCAATTAGGTAGCTTTTGATTGCCCCCAAGACAAAAGTGCCACTATTGCATCAATGGAGTATGCTGTGCTGGCCGTTGATTTAGTAATTTGGTCTTGAAGCTGGTGCTGGATCATTTGTTGATATTTTTCCTTAGCACCTTCATAGCACTCTCCAAAGCTATGAGAGCTAGCCTTCAGTGGAAGTGGCTTCCAGGTCAGTTCCAGCTCTATTTCTCCAAATCCTGTGTCTGAAGTATTTTCTGTCTTCAGCAGTAGGGTCTTACCTTCAAGTTCGGGGAGGCCATCAAGGGCTGTGGCAATAGCCTGAGTAATTTTGGGAGTCTCTTGACCACCCTAGCCAACAACCCAAAGGAAGGTATCTCCTGTCTGGCACTGTTTCTTGTTATGTAGCCTTTAGCTATACACATGGACTGTAACTGAACATTTTAATAGCTTATTGATCATGACAGACTCTATCTTTAATCTTCTGCCATAACAATAGGTTTTTAGGTTCCTAATATCCTTTAAAGAAATACTAAATTAAAGACATTACACAGATGTTGTCTTTAACAGCTATTGGGTACAGAAAGAGGATTTATGTATTATGTAAAACATTTACAGCGTTTTGAAACTGAATTCTAATATTTTATTAATTCAGTTTTGACATAAGATTTATTTTTTGTTTTCTTGATTGTTATCAAGTGATAACATGCACATAGGAGTTATCAGTTTCATTCTTTATGATTTCCCAATCTAAGCTATTAAATTTAAGAGGGGAACTGATTTTCATTAACATAGCCTTCATAAAAGGAGCATTTGGTAATGAAAATTAATACTGCTTCTTTTAAAGCTGGAAATTGTGTGAATGATTTAAAAATGATCTATACACAAATGTCTGTAAAAAATAATTGCAAGTACATTAGAAAATACATTTTTCTAAAGTTAGATAGATGATGAATGTGTACAATTAATGAGATGAAAATGAACATTATTCAATTACCTGTTTTCTTTTAAAAACATGTTAGAACATATACTACATACTAGGGTAGTCTAAAGAAGGCAGCATGATGGAGTTAGATCTCTCAACTTTACTTGAATTCTGGGGATTTAATTCAGATCTTTAGGTTTGTGAAGCAATCAACTTTACCCACTGAGCAAGCTTACCAAGAAATTATTTATAGCATTTAATTACTAACTAAATATATTGTAAGTCAATATATCTTTTTAATTTAATGAGTAAAGATTAACACTGTAACTTTTGATGATAAAATTGCTTAGCATACTTATAATGACTCAAGTATGGGCAATATAGTTACAATGTCCTGGGATGCTGATATGCATACTATACAGCTCATTGTTCTTTTATCGTTGATACCTATTCCTGTTTCATCAGTGATAAGGAGTTGGTTTCTGGTTATGTGTCATGTCATTATTTATCCCCCATCACTATTAAAGTCAGCAAAGTAATGTCATGACTCTCCTATTGTGGTAACTCTTACGGATTTGCAATTTGCTAAGTCAGCACACTTAGATATATGTAGATAGGTTTGTATACTGTGATATGTGGAAGAAATCCCTGTAGGGGAGTATTTCATTTAAATTTATGCAAAATAACATGGTATTTAAATGTGAATGACATAAAATGTTTAAAATGATGAAATTTTAGATTCATCACTAGAATTTTCTTTGTATCATTTTTATTAGTACAGTCTGTTCTCATGCATTGGTTCACTTACTTCTTTCCAAAACTGTATGTAGCAGGTAGCCATAAACAAATCTCCATTTCATGGATGAAGAAATGGGCTTAGAAAGGATGGGAAATCTGCCTCAGCAAATGTCAGCCAGTCATAGTCAGTATGCGGCAAAGGCATCCAACCCAGACTGATCATAAGCACCACTCTCTTAATGGCAATTCCTGATTGGAGACTGAGAGAGCTTAGCATATGTCTTGATTTAGAGCTTAAATCTGAACTCGTTTTCTATGTTGGCTTGATAAATTGCAAGCAGTACTAACTTTTTCAGCTGTACTACATTTTCCTTGTGAAGGACTGTCATTTTTAAGTCTCTCTCTCTCTCTCTCTCTCTCTCTCTCTCTCTCTCTGTGTGTGCACGCATAGAAGGCAGAGGTTGATATCAGGTCAGTCTCTCTCTCTTCCCTTTTCTTTTTTGAGAGTAATCTCTCACTAAACATTCACTCTGCTACACTGTCTGGCCAACAGGTCCCATGGATCCTCCTGTCTCTGCCTCCCCAGCACTGGAATTATATGCATGCCCCATTGCTAGACAATTTTATGAGGGTGCTGGGAATCTGAAATTGAGGGTGCTGGGGATCTGAACTTAGATCCTCATACTTGAGTGACAAGTGCTTTACCAACTGAGCCATCTTTCCCAGCCCCTGTAAAATATGTTTTCTACCCTCTGAAAACATGAAGGAAGTTCATGCTTCACCTTTTTTCTTGAGACGATATTTTCTTGCTTCCTGTGTTTTCCATCCTGTACCTTTGGTGCTATCAGGATGGAAAATTAATTCCAACTTGTCTGTCACCCTTTACATCTTTACTGTTTTTTTTTTAATCATGTTGTTCATTTGTTGTAGTAAGCTGTAAACTCTTGTTATGCACTAAATCTTATGCAAACACTACACATTTTTCATGCAAATTCTCCATCTTTATATAATTCTAAATAGTGTATTGACCTTATGGTAAATATTAAGAACTTTGATGGACCTTTATTGGCAGGTTTTGGGGAATCAATTTTGTTTCCTAATGGTGGCAGTCTTTTTTAAACCACCAGAATATGTTGTCTTGTTTTAAGAATGAAAAGAATAAGAAGGAGAAGAAAGAAAAAGGCTGGGATATTTCTTAAAGTATCACATGTAAAACTGAAACACACTAATTTATCCTCTGTGTGCAAATGTAACATGTTCTGAAGATGCAGTTTTGGATTTTATAGTGATCCCAGTTATTTGTGATGTCTTTAAGGTGTACTGGATAGCTTTAGTGTCAACTTGACACACCTGGGTTGAGGGGAGCCTCAATCAGGGAATTACCTCTATTGGACTGGCCTGTGGCCATGTCTGAAGGGCACCTTCTTGATGAGTGATGTGGGAGGGCCCAGCCCACTGTGGGTGGTGCCACCCCTGGGCAGGTGGGCCTGTGTTGCATAAGAAAGTAGGCTGAGCAGGGGCCAGAGAGCAAGCCAGTAAGCAGCGTTCCTCCATGGCCTGTGCTCCAGCTCCTGCCTCCAGGTTTCTGCCCTGAGTTC